AATGGGTAGTAGAAGAGGAGGAGCCAGTGTTGCACAAGAGAGCGTTCTTTGAGGCTATCGATGATGAAGATATTGAAGAAAGTGATGAGCAGCATGAAAGAGGAAGCAGCCAGCCAATGTATCCACAATATGTCGGTGATATTGTACCTAATGAGGGAGAGTGGGAAGGGGGTCTAAGAGAAAATGAGAGAGATGATGATTCCCAACAGCAACAGTGTAGGGATGAGCACGACAGTGCAGGTTAGCATGAAGGATGGACAAGCTTCGGGGATTTTGGATTGGGAACACAACAAAACACTAACACTCAGGGATTTGGGAATAGTCAGACGCCCGCTAATATCGATGATTCGTTTTTAGATCGAATCAATGAATTGTCAAACGAATTCAATCAATGGCACCAGCGTGACCAAGAAGAACAACAACATCGTCTATCATTTTATTTTTAGAACGTATGTTACTAATTTTATGCTTTATTGTAGTCCATGTATGTTGATATACTTATTCCATGATAATTCTATGTTTATCCTTTTGTGTGATGTAAATTAAATGCTGAATGGCGGTTCATGCAGGGAAAGAACATATCAATATTCGCATATTCATTCAAAAACATGAAAATTCTTAATGGAGTACCCTCATTTCTTATTGAATTCCTAAAAAACAATATTTATAATGAATTTTAATAATTTTTTCGAATTTTTTTGAAGCTTTATTCTGACCGATTCACCCGATTCCCGATCCAGATCGCCGATTCGTCGATCCGGATCGATTTTTTGAAAGCCCAATCCGGGTCACCGATCCGTTTTTTAAACCATTGCCTTAAACAATAGACTGCAAGACGATTTATTTATTTTTTTCAGCAAATAGTTCATCTAAGTCTTTCACCGAGTCAAACCAACCCCAAAACGCGTACATCATTTTGCCTCTTCAACGTATGTTATGCCTGGTCCATAACATGCCCATTTTCTCCGAAGTAACATGTATATAGCCTTTAAATATTTGTGTTCAATACGACTTCCATCTCTTCTCACAACTGCTACTGCTAGTGCTAATGGCCTTGTCTAAATCTTCCCATCCTCTCCTTCTGTCTCTTCTTCTTCTTCTTCTTCCCACAGTCACTTTATCTGTGACTTTCAATTTCGACTCATTCCCAGTTTCCCTTCCTAATATCTCATATGAAGGTGATGCCTTACCCAATGGCACTGCCATCCAGGTAACGCGCACCCAGACTGGCGACAATCTACAGGATAGCGTCGGGCGTGCTTTCTACAAGCACCCAATTCGATTATGGGACTCTGCCACTGGAATTGTCTCTGATTTCACCACGCACTTCGAATTTGTCATTGATTCTAGTGACATGTCAAAAAGTGGTGATGGCCTTGCCTTCTTCCTTGCTGCGAATTCGACTATACCAAGTAAGTCCTGGGGTGGGCAACTTGCTCTTTTTGATAGCAGCTTGGACAACAACTCTGTGAGTCGAGTTGTCGCAGTGGAATTTGATACATATCAAAATGAATGGGATCCGACCCGCAATCACATAGGAATCGACATCAATTCCGTTGTCTCCAAGGCTAGTAGGCCATGGAACAGTAAGCTTCAGAATGGTTCGAGGTCTAATGCATGGGTAACCTACAATGCTACAACTAGGAATTTGAGTGTCTTCCTTACCCAAGAGAACAACCCCACCTTCAATGGGAATTCTAACCTCTCGTATGAGGTAGACATGTCGAAGGTTCTACCGGAGTGTGTAACAGTTGGGTTCTCAGCAGCCACTGGTTGGGCAATTGAGCTTCATACAATTTTGTCATGGGAGTTCAATTCAAGCTTGGGTTCATGTGAGGAAACAAAGCAGCCGAATGTCATTGTTGATCATAAGGATAGAAGATGGATGGTATGGATGTCTTTGTGTCTGGGGGCTTTCATGATTGGTGTATTAGTCTTAATTTTGATCGTTTGGAGGAAGATAGCGAAGAAGAGAAGGGGAAATGGAGACCTGCACGTGGACGAGGAATCCATGGATGAAGAATTTGAAAGGGAGACCGGTCCTAGGAGATTTGCATACAAGGAGCTTGTTTCTGCTACTAATGACTTCAGTGAAAAAGGGAAGCTTGGAGAAGGAGGATTTGGAGGAGTTTACATGGGGCTACTGAGTGATACAAAGGAAACTGTGGCTGTAAAGAGGATCTCTAAAGGGTCTAGACAAGGGAAAAAGGAATACATCACCGAGGTGAGAATTATAAGCAGATTGAGGCACAGGAACCTAGTTCAACTTATGGGTTGGTGTCATTACAAAACTGAGTTGCTTCTTGTGTATGAATTCATGCCTAATGGAAGTCTTGATAGATACCTGTTCGGGAAGAAATCTGGGCTCACTTGGGAGCTGAGGTACAAGATTGCATTAGGGTTGTCCTCTGCTCTCTTATATCTCCACGAAGAATGGGAACAATGTGTAGTTCATCGTGATATCAAATCAAGCAATGTTATGTTGGATTCTAAATTCAATGCTAAACTAGGGGACTTTGGGCTGGCCAGGCTAGTGGACCACAATAGAGACTCACAAACAACAGTTGTAGCTGGGACCATGGGCTACTTGGCACCCGAGTGTGTCACAGATGGGAAAGCCAGCAAGGAGTCCGATGTCTTCAGCCTTGGTGTCGTCGCACTTGAGATCTGTTGTGGAAGACGTGCCATCGAACCATTAGCAGAGGCTTCAAAGGTTAGGTTGGTAGAGTGGGTATGGGAGCTCTATGGAAGAGGGAGGCTAATTGATTGTGTGGATGAGGCCTTATCAGGTGAATTTGATGATAAACAGGTGGAATGTCTTATGGTTGTTGGGCTCTGGTGTGCTCATCCTGACTATGCCATGAGGCCCTCGATAAGACGAGCCATCCAAGTCCTCAATTTTGAAGCACAACTGCCTGCGCTTCCATCAAAGATCCCTGTGGCAATGTACTCTGTGCCTCCCACTAAGCAATCTGTATTCTCATACACATTCGATCATTCCAAATCATCGGATGTCACCGAAGAGACTTCCACAACAACTACCTCTTTGACACCTACCATGTCATCTACTTCATATCTCGTGGATTCCAGATAGGATGTTTCTAAGTATTTCCAGTCACTGCTGTATTCATATAGGAAAGGTCCTTTAAAAGAAGATACTTGTTGGCACCAACATATTGATAGTGTTTTTCAGTTTAAAACAAATCTGGTTATTTTAGATTTAAATCATGTACTTTCTTACTGAAATGGTTCATAGTTATCAGGATCACCCCAAAAGGGGGTCGTTTTGGCTCCAGAATCTAAATCCTGAATTCTTGAGCCGGGATCTTGCCTATAGTTTGTTTTTTTTTTGGTGGGATCTCACTCCCTGTACTCAGACTCTCGATCTGATGAGCATCCCCACTTATCATGGTGCTTGTTCATTAAAGTTTTGAAAAGTGTGATGCCGATCAAAATTTTAAGAACTCGATCATTTTTAGCTAACTTTCAATCAAATTATGGTGTGCTCTTTTATCTTCACAGACGAAAATGGGGTTGGGGCATTGGTGCACCACACGTGCCCGAACTAAGATCTAGGTTTCCATTATCGCCAACGCATTAAAAAACCATTAACGATTTAAAAAACGGGTAGGACCTCATCATCCCCGTTAAATTGCCCAAAAAAAAAAAAACAAAAACAGCTTCAATTGTCAAATAAAGAAATATCACTATATTTTTTAAGTATATTTGATACATGAGCTGATTGACGTTTGTAAGGAAATGTAATTTCCTATAAAAACATGTTTTTAGAGAGAACAACATGGACAATCTCGTGAAGGTAGGAGTCATTGCTAATGTTTTGACTACTGTTTAATTCCCTTTT